CAATAAGTGGAATAAAATGGACATAAACTGACAACATGAAAAAGATAACTCACCACAACATCACATGGACAGATGTACGCTCGTCGGACATCATATATGCCTCACCAACTACAACCCAACATTCCTGAGATAATGTGATGAACTTATATCCGTAATGTTGCTGAGCAGTCAATATCCACAACTCCTGTCGGAACAACTAAAATTCAAAAACCTTCCTCACGAGAAGTAAATACCACAAGCAGTAGAAATCCATTAATTAATGCGTCTAAAGCTTATGTATTTTACTCCCAACAATGACATTGCAGATCAAATGAGATAAACATATCACTGATTTCAAAATAACACATCAATGAACTATAATTCAAGGATTCTGCACACAACAAAATTATGTATGAAAACTGACTTCAAGCTTTATTTTTTTCCCAGGCACTTATAACCCATCCACCAAAGACCTGGTTTTTTTGTTAATGCGAAGACAATACTTCTGTATTTCCTGATGTGTTGCACTCACTGACAATCTAGCGGATTTTTCCAACTATGCACAGAAATGATTGTACATAAGTGAAAAGGATGTTTTATACTATTGGGATTAACATTTATCAAGTGTATTTATAATCTCCAGTGTACATGTTAAACATATTTTGCTATCGACTGTAAATTGTGACTGAATAATATGGTCCTATTTCTGTAACAATTTGATGATGCCTGTAAACTGGCGTCCCTCATGTACTGCATCATGAGAATAAATTTATTTATTTATTTATTCACTATCAATTACCACTGCAATCGCTTGCCACTCATTCTGCCTCAGTTCTAGTAACGGTGGCATATGCAAGCCTCAGTTGTCTACACTGTCGCTCCCCGGCGTGTGGGACCACAGCTAATCATTATCTCCGTGTGTATGTCATTCTCAGCACTAGCCTAGCCTCCCTAGCGTATACGACCCATCTGCTGTCTTTAACATCAATCAACTCATTCACGGATGTAGAAGACTCGAAACAACTTCAGAATTAAGCACGACGAAAATTTTAACAAAGTTATGCAACACAACAACAAGTAAACACAGCGAATCCAAAAGACGCCAATTGATATGACACACCACACATATATACAAACAGTACAAATAACTTTACAGATCATGTCTTGATGGAATTCCTTTGAGGAATCGCAGGACTTACACCAGCATGCCCGCAACCCTTCTCAGGTTGACGATTGTAAGTTGAAGAATGTCCGGACACAAACAAGATTAACCAAAAATTACATTAATTGGAACCCACTCAATTACTTAACACAAACATATGTACAATAAATGCATCGAATGTTGTGGATTCTGCCTCGACGAACTACCCTTGAAGAACTGTAAGACTTACAGCAGTATGCCTACATTCCTTCTCAGGTTGATGATACAATTGGAAGACGTCTGGACACAAACAAAATTATCAACAGATAGATGAGAAATGATGCCAATCCAGTATATACAATATGAACATATGTACAAAATAACACTCTCAGCACGTTGGGCTGCTCACTGATGCGCTACTTTTGAAAAATTTCAGGACTTACAGCAGTACGCCCACAACCCTTCTCAGATTGACGCCCTAGGTTGGAAAATCGTCGAAGTGTTCATTTTCTGACCTCCTTCTGTCATCTCTATCATCAAATCCGAATGGTAGCACGCTCATGTCATTGTATCGTAGAATATAGGTGACTAACAAACATACGACGTATCTGACCAACCAAGCGTAGGCAGATAGCAATTTACACCAAAGATAATAGCATTCAAGTAGTAACTTGAAACTTGACAGGCCTTTATTCATTCAAATCAGTTTAACAATTACCCTCTCGTACACAGTTGGCTTATCCTCATTAAGCTGACCAATATCTTTCGTCTTTTCAAATGCACCGATACCAGCATAGTCATAACATAAGACACTTGAGTTCATGGACATCCCTTTCATTGTGGATGACAACACCGACGACGACTGATTGATACCAGTTGATGAACTTAGCGTTGCATCAGAAGCTGTTGTTGTTCGGCTTTTAGAAGGTTGTCTAACTGTAAGATTACCACCACTTCTGTCTTTTACTATTACCTTTAGTTTAGCTCTAAAATCTGTCGATAGGTGGGCTACACGCTGATCATTTACACTGACGGTCTCACGAGTATCCATACCTTCTTCCACTGCATCTGACTTTAATTCTACTTCACGTTCAAGTTGCACAGAACCTTTGTTCAACTCAGCAGTAGTAGGCATTCCCCTCATCTCATCATGATCAACCAAAGACAAGAGTGCACTATCATAATCATTATCACAAATATTCAATTTACCGTCGTCTATCTGGTCGACTTCATTTTCAAACTCTTTAATAACAGAAGTGGACAATCGGGTTCTTCCTCACAAACCCTTAAAGCTTTTATACCATCACTCTGACTAGTAATACCCTGTAAGCTTGTGGAGTCAGAACTGGACTCTGAGACTGTAACTCTCTTCTCCTGCACAAACTGTGGTGTCGTCTGTGACACTCAATTCGACAATGGCTCACCAGTTGCAACTACAGGCTTCTTCACCGCACCATTATCGTCACACAATTCGTAGTCAGAACTTGATGACGCTGACTTCACATTTAGATTATCACTAAATTTGCTCACTGATTCGCAGTTCACCTTTGTATGCACTTCTTGCAAACGTGTAAAACACAACCGTGTTTGTCTCACAACTTGTAACCTATCTGTTGGGGATGTCCCACGAAACCTGTTACACTCACTAAGTTTATATGGATTACTAGCCACCATAGAGCCTTCTCGTTACCCGCTTCTCTGAGACCCTTTCGTCATAAATGATTGCGTTTTGCTCTCAGACTGCTCTATTCTACGGGTGGGATGCAATATACTGACAAACTTGCTCATAGATTGATTGACACTATCTTTTACCAGTCTCAGAATATCGTCAAACCTTGGCTCGACACCTTCATCCTCTATACAGGAGGTTATCTTCACCCACTTCCTTTGCAGTCGAGTAGGTAGGCGTCTCGCTATTACCTCTAGGACGGAACTTGAGTTCAGATCTCTCATGCAATTCATTGAAATCAACGTATTCTTGTAAGTCATCAGATTATCCAAAAACTCAGTGAGTGCCTTGGATTCATCTCGTAATCGACCACCATTACCCTTAACAGCCTCAAATAATTTCCCTAAAACCATCAAAGGTCTCCCGAATCTTTGACGCAGTATATTCATAGCCTCAGATTATCCTTTGTTTGGCTTCATAAACTTACAGCACTGTATAGCTCTTGAAGCAACTCGAGTGCAGTACCTCATCAAACACATCAACTTCATTTCATCATTTAATAAAAAACTACTCAGCATGATTTCAAACTCCTGCACAAACTGTGAATAGTCAACTGGGTTTCCATCGAAACACCGAGGCCCGTATTCAGGAAGCTTAATACTCCTATTATCCCTAGACGGCGAAACATTAACATCAGCCTTATCATGATTAACATCAAACACATCGTTACATGTAACAGACAAATCAACATGACTTACTTTCCTGCTTGCTTTCAAGACGCTCTGTCCCTTCTTTGACCCAGGCATCATTGAACTTGACCGAAATCCCAGAAAAGTTCCAGATAATACTTGTCCAAAGAGGACTGGCAAGCACCAGGAAAGTCAAACAGAAACTATACAAATACTATCAGAAACTGTCAGTCGAGTCTCATAAACTGTCAGTGTCCAGCTCTTACTACGCTGAACTTCACGCTGTCCCTCGAAGAATTTCAGAAACAATTTATATTAACCAACGCGAAAACCAAAACAATGATTGGCGACTCAAGAATCCTTTATTCTAACGCCAACATATAACCAACAATAATTTTATTACAGAAGGTCTAATAACAAATGTTATAACAATAAATCACGATATTCCTTCTGATAGTTTTTAATCTTCCTTTGAACAGCGAACAATGAGACGATGACTGTCGGATCGATGACCAGCGAAAATTGTGGGGAAGCTGGGTTTGAGCAAACAACCATGAATTGATCGTTCAATCTCCAACTACATGGACACCCTCTGTTATTTTCCTGTAATTTTCGGTTGATACTGACGGAGATTTGACTAGACACTTAGAACGGTACTCGCTGGCTTCGCCATTCGTCCTTCTGTATTAATCACTTAATTAATGCCTATAGGATTACAAATGACTAGAATCACCAAAGGTGTTCTGCCACTAAGCACATATGGACTTTGTGGTGGCAATTCACGATGGATACTTCACCAGAGAGTAAGGACTCATTGCGCCCCCAGTTCTTTTCACTGCTGGATGGCTTTCCTGGAGCTCTGTACCGGCAGATGTGGCTATTGTGTCGTCTGTGGACAGCTTTAAACGAGGGCTGGACAAACATGCAGCGACACAAGGACTGCATCCAGATGGCCTATCTCATCAAAATCTCATACACCAATCATGGGTAGACAACTAAATTCGTTGTTTCACTGCCTCACATTCTCTCCTGTCTCACGCTACTGACTACTCCAACTACTACACTTATCATTATTATTACTGATATTATATACATGTATATTTAAATTTATGTATGTATATATTTCAACTTCAAATTTAATTGGTTGTCTGTTTTTACTTTTTCTTTATTAAATTTTCTATCATTTAGCCTGAAAAATCCACACTGTTTATTCCTATTAATTATTATAAACACTTTTCTTCCGACGACGATACCGGAGGACTAACTGGTAACAGGATTAACTCCACTCACAGTGGCGACAAAGTCTTAGCACACCGCATACTACAAACAACATATAATCAGTCCCAAGCAACATTCCTTTTGCAGTCATCCAAAGCTGAGATTGTTGAATGGCGGGATGAACTACACAAACGTTTACCGAATATCAGGAAACCTTACCTCACAATGAAGAAGAAAGCACAATGAAACCTAATTGGTTCATACCAGCTCGTAAAACGATATTGGATATTGAATCCATTGATCAATACCGCGCAGTTTCAGTCGATTCGACCTTGGGTAGTGCATTTGGAACAGCATGTCTTCAGAGTTTGGGTTCGACCTAGACGAGGTCGCTGCAGCTTTTCATCCGAAGGAGGCGACATCTGAGACAACAGCTGAACGTATCGAGGCTTTACAGTCTGATGAATTCAAGGAGCGGAGAAAGAAGTGAGTCGAGTGAACCTGATTTTCAACCTTCCTAGTAAATATTAACAATTTGATGACTATAGGAGCACGATATTAGTTTGTTTATTAGATGTATGACACAGTGAAACGAAGTTTCGATTAACACTTATTGTTCATAATCATAAGAACTATAATCACACGACTTGGAAACTTCAGTTTTATAGTTTTCTTTGTCCTCTCCTATTTGTCATCATTAGGGTAGTAAAATTTTCCAGATATCTGGGTGGACAGGTGTTGAATCATTCCTATTACACGTGTTGATTTGCAGTTGATTCGGTAAACAAAGCTCCTGTTATCAATCGTGTGATAATAATTGATATGATTATGAATAATAAATTTTGTTCGAAACGTCATCCAGTAAATAATACTGTTTCACTGACGGTTTGATACATCCAATAAAAAAACTAATATGGAATTACTTACTACCACAGTGCCCAATTTATACACATATTGTAGGAGCACGAAACTGCCGAATAAAGACCTTGAAGAACTTCTATTGACCCTTCAAATTCTCCCGAAGCAGATGTGTATAATTTAAGAAAGGCATCTACATAAAAGTAATGCTATGTTGAAACATCTCATAGGAGTCCTCATAGTCAAGTTAAACCATTTTCTGTATATAAGTTCACCTAGATAGCTGAGCATCATCATCGCGTTTCTTGACTCATTCATAGCTCTGGTCCTACCTTTTTAGGCGACTCTAGAAACTTTCAATGAAATTTTCCTGAGACTCATCAAAGGGGGTTTAACGAAATCATCATTTGTACTATTGACCAGGTTGTGAACACAGCCCAGGAATGACGACAGTTGACTACACGTTTTCTTCCTTCCAACGAGCCTGTTGTCCTATTATTATTATCATTCCCTTGGGTTCCTAGTGGAACATAGGGCTTCAACTGCAGGTCTCCACTTCCTTGCTTCTGTCTTCTGCTGTACTTTTTACCTGCATCCACGTTAGTCCATACTGTTTCAACTCGTCTTCACACGATCTCCTCCATGTCACCCTTGCACTGACGACCCACTCGCCGCCTCCCATTCTGTTGGGTTCCACTCGAGCAATTGCCTGACGCGTGATGTCGCCCAGTAGCCTCCTCAGCGAGTGTCCAATCCATCTCCACCTTCTCCTGCATATTTGTTGGGTGGGCGATTAGTTCTTGTTTTGTTTCTTCCCATAGTTTCTTGTTGGTGATTCTTTCCGGCCCGGCCATCTGATCTTCAGTATATAGAGCGAAGACAGTTAGTTGTTGATAAAGGTCTGCAACTGACTGTTGGAATTATTCATTATGACCCACCCGCCAAGTTTCTGATCCGTATAGAAGAACTGACTGACTGTTTTTTTTTTTTTGAGGAAGAACTAGCTAAACGCATATCTGAATCCGACAGCTGTGCTCACCCTGGAGAAGCCTGGAAGAATATTCAGTCAGCTATAGATACAGCTGTAAAAGCTGTGAATAAGACAAATCCAAAGGTGAGTAAAAACCACTGGATTTCGACTGCCTCATCCGAACTGATAGATGCTAGAAGACTTATTCCGGCGAGCTCCGAATTCAATGAGGAGCGAAAGCTGCACAAAAGGAAACTTACTAAAAGTCTCCGCAAAGACCGTGAACAGTGGTGGGTGACAAAGGCGAAAGAGATGGAAAAAGCATTGGCGATAGGCAACACTAGGCAACTCTTTAGACTCATCACAGAATCGGGCGGGAAAAGGCAATTCATAAGTGAGACTATTTCTGAGAAAAATGGCTCCTTAATTAGCTCTCAGGATAGACGCCTTGAACGCTGGAAAGAACACTTTGAGGAACAATTTAACTTGCCTACAGCCACACTGAACCTCCCCGCCATCCACCACGTACCCGAATGGGATATAGACACTGGTCCGCCGTCTGTAGGTGAGGTTACAAAAGCTATCAGTAATTTGAAACGAGGCAAAGCGGCAGGACCCGACGGAATTATTCCGGAGGTGTTTAAATATGGGGGTGACATACTAGTTTGTAGATTAACTGAGGTACTAGGCAAAGTCTGGGAATCAGAGACAGTACCATCAGACTGGGGTAAGTCACTCATTATACCGATATTCAAGAAGGGAAACAAGTCCTCGTGTGATAATCATAGGGGGATCAGCCTAACGAACATAGTCTCTAAAATCCTAGGCTCAGTAATCATGCATAGACTAAGCAGAACTCGGGAGGAACAGACAAGGGAAAATCAAGCAGGCTTTAGACCAGGTAGAGGGTGCATAGATCATATCTTCACTCTTCGACAGATTCTAGAACATAGACACACTTTTCGGCGTCCAACAATTGTCATATTTCTTGACTTGAAGGCGGCCTTCGACTCCGTGGACCGAAAAGTACTATGGCAATGTCTGACTGTGAAGGGAGTGCCAAGAAAGTACATTGCACTAATCAAGGCACTCTATTCAAACTCACGTAGTCGTGTAAGGGCTTATGGGGAATTGTCATCTGAATTAGTAACAACCAGTGGTGTCCGACAGGGATGTCCACTTTCCCCATTTCTGTTTAACTTCATCATAGATATGCTAATGGAAGTATCCTTAACTGAACGTAGTGACTTAGGAATCGACTTGTTACCAGGGAATAATCTAATGGACTTAGAATATGCAGATGACATAGTCCTGTTAGGGGAGGATGCTGACAAAATGCAGAGTCTTCTGAACACCTTGAGCAGCAATCTTCGTATGTTTGGCATGCGATTCGCCCCTGCAAAATGTAAGATGCTGCTACAGGACTGGACGACGTCAACCCCTAACTTAGTGATAGGGAGTGAAGTGATAGAACATGTTGACCACTTCACCTACTTGGGAAGTTGTATTAGCACCAACGGACTGATTGGCGATGAAATCTCAGCACGGATCCGAAAAGCTCGAGCTGCTTTCGCTGACTTACACCATCTCTGGCGTAGGCGTGACATCCGGTTATCAACCAAGGGACGTGTGTACTGCTCATCAGTTCGCTCCGTCCTTCTCTATGGCTCTGAAACATGGCCAATACGCGTTGAAGACATGAAAAGGTTGACTGCTTTCGATCATAGATGTCTGCGATCTCTGTCTCACGTTAGGTGGTTTCACAAGATAAGTAATGTTGACGTTAGGCGTAGAGTGTTGGGCAAAGAGGGAAAATCAATCGACGAGGTTATAAAGTTACATAGACTAAGATGGCTAGGTCACGTGGTGCGCATGCCTAACCACCGCCTCCCCCGACGGGCATTGTTAGCTGATATAGGTTCAGGTTGGAAAAGAGCCAGTGGTGGCCAAACAAAAACATGGCATCAATCCATGAAATCCTTGACAGTTAAACTGAGTCAGGTAGGGAGATGCAGACTCCCGGGTTGGGGCCCTCGGGACTCTAGGAATCAATGGCTGGAGACAATAGGTGACATGGCTCAAAATCGTTGTCAATGGCGCAGATGTATTCAGTCTCTGTAATCTTTCATATTCCTTTCTACCATTACCCATTCTGTTTCACTCTTATACTTGTCAAACTCTATTGATTCTCTTCACTCATCTTCTTGTCTACCTCTGTGTGCTATTTGGAACGTGGCAACTCGAACTGCTGCACTTCGGTGCCAAGTTCTATGTTGAATCCAGACAGACAGACAGACTGACTGACTTGAAGATCCGACGGAATTTTGTTGTTGATGCTGAGTGACGAAGACTTCCAGATTGGTTTCAGGTTGATGTGAATGTGTTTTCATCGCCTTCCCGATTCTCGCTCGATTTGACATCCTCGTCCGTTCCGACTGCCTGTAGTTGAGACAATGCTCCCTAGATAAGTAGTGAATGAAGTGTAACCTCTTTCAAATCCCTCCCGTTTATGGTGATTGGCGCTGGATGTTGCTGTTGTTGTTCGCTGGTTGGTTATTTTGGTGACCTCCGTCTTGTCTATGTTCACCTGGAGTCCTGTCTTCACTGTCCGCCTCTTCGACCATTTTGTCGGTTTTCGCTTGTAAGTCTTCGATTTTGTGTGACATCAAGCATAAATCATTGCCGCGCTAAATCCAGGTCTTCTAGGTTCTTCACGTCGGTCCAGGATATCCCTGTCTTCTCGTTTCCAACTGTCTGACGCATAATCCAGTCCACCACAATTAGGAATATCGTTCATTGGCGATAATAAGCACGCTTGTCTAACTCCTGTGTTTGCTCCAAACGCCTCGCCGAGGTTTCTGTTGCGAATCACTTGACATGTGCCATTGTCGTACAGCACATAAGCACTAGATTTGGATGAAATTTACTGCGTTTTCCTAGTACAGTATCCTTAATTGCGCCTATATGCTACGGACTCATCTGACCGGTGGCTTAAGGTCTGTAATCTATGCATTAGGCAGTTTCATTTTGGCCTATCAAAGTTTAAAGTCACCATGTGGTAAAATTTGAGGCTTTGGAAATGGCACTATTCTAATTTGTTTCTTCAGATTAATTATTTTAAGCTGTCGCAGAATCTTCACTCTGGGCTGGTAGTATGCTCACAAAAACTTTTGTAATGACCCAGATTGGGTGTTCAGGTCTTTTGGCCTTTGTTAAACCTTGTGGCATGTCTCTAGATATCCAATTCGCCACTGGAAGATTTCATTTGTGGTGTTGATATAACTTGATCGGGCAAGAATTTTCATTCGTTGGCCACTTAATGTGAAAATCTAAATTCCACAAGTATTTTATTCATCCGCAATCACAGCGACTTTATAAGGTGACCTCGTAGTAGGGGGAAAGGAAAGGTTATAGAGGTCAACTGGAGAATCACCCTCTTGTATACTGTATGCCAACATGAAGTCATCTCCGAAGTGATAATGGGAAGCGACTTATGTGTTCCGCCATCTCATAAATAAAACGGTGGGTAGCACTGAGTAATTTGGCACCCTTTTGGTTTGTTTATTAGATGGATGTATCACACAGTGAGTGAAACAGTATTAGTATTTACTGAATTACGAAGTTTCAAACAACACTCAGTGTTCATAATCATATCACC